CCACGCGTAGTAATTCCACGCGTAGTAATTCCACGCGTAGTAATTCCACGCGTAGTAATTCCACGCGTAGTAATTCCACGCGTAGTAATTCCACGCGTAGTAATTCCACGCGTAGTAATTCCACGCGTAGTAATTCCACGCGTAGTAATTCCACGCGTAGTAATTCCACGCGTAGTAATTCCACGCGTAGTAATTCCACGCGTAGTAATTCCACGCGTAGTAATTCCACGCGTAGTAATTCCACGCGTAGTAATTCCACGCGTAGTAATTCCACGCGTAGTAATTCCACGCGTAGTAATTCCACGCGTAGTAATTCCACGCGTAGTAATTCCACGCGTAGTAATTCCACGCGTAGTAATTCCACGCGTAGTAATTCCACGCGTAGTAATTCCACGCGTAGTAATTCCACGCGTAGTAATTCCACGCGTAGTAATTCCACGCGTAGTAATTCCACGCGTAGTAATTCCACGCGTAGTAATTCCACGCGTAGTAATTCCACGCGTAGTAATTCCACGCGTAGTAATTCCACGCGTAGTAATTCCACGCGTAGTAATTCCACGCGTAGTAATTCCACGCGTAGTAATTCCACGCGTAGTAATTCCACGCGTAGTAATTCCACGCGTAGTAATTCCACGCGTAGTAATTCCACGCGTAGTAATTCCACGCGTAGTAATTCCACGCGTAGTAATTCCACGCGTAGTAATTCCACGCGTAGTAATTCCACGCGTAGTAATTCCACGCGTAGTAATTCCACGCGTAGTAATTCCACGCGTAGTAATTCCACGCGTAGTAATTCCACGCGTAGTAATTCCACGCGTAGTAATTCCACGCGTAGTAATTCCACGCGTAGTAATTCCACGCGTAGTAATTCCACGCGTAGTAATTCCACGCGTAGTAATTCCACGCGTAGTAATTCCACGCGTAGTAATTCCACGCGTAGTAATTCCACGCGTAGTAATTCCACGCGTAGTAAGCGCGTAGTATCTCCATGCGTGGTATCTCCACGCGTAGTACCTCCACGCGTTATATCTCCACGTGTCGAATTTCTCAGCGCAGTATTAGTATCATGTACACAGCAATTTAATCCGAGCGCAAATAAATCATCCGTTACTCCAAAAAAATTGCCTCAACTTCTCACCTCTGTATTAACACACTCCCAAAAATATTTCACGTCGTACTTGACTAATAGGCCCGCAGATAATTAGCAGCTCTCCAGTGGCCTCCCAGGTTTGTATATTTAACGTCCATGTTTTGTCTCTCTTCGATAAGATCTCCCATTGTTCGAAAATACAGAAAAACGAGTCGTTAAACTGTTTTGCTGATCGTTTATGATTCAGCTTCTCGACACGTTCCTCGTCGATTAGCAAACGCATAAAACATTCCGTGTCAGAAAGAAGGAAAATTCGAAGTATCTCGTATAGCAAAGACCATCGAATAGAACGTTCAAGCGGTGATTTCAACACCCTGTCACATTATCCTACAGCGAAGAGTTAATCGAGCTCGGATTACGCGAGGATTAAATCAATCTATCAAACAGCTTGGTAAATCGCTCTTTCCATGACGTTCGACCGCAATGCATCAAGTTAGATTCCACAAGTTGATACAGGTTCGAAAGGTCGCGTCCGTATACGGACACGAGCTGGCACCGAGTCATTTTCACGGGTGATTCCTTCATCTTCTCGCTATTCGTTTCTCTCATAAATCTTTAACGAGACTCCTACGCGCGGCACGTAAGTACAAATCGTCATGAATTTTACTCGTTAAATCGATTATACGTACATTCGTACTTGTATATAGATTCTCGTTTTCATTCCTCCAATTTTGACCTTATACGGTTTTATTGAATCGGTGTACTTGACCGAATTACGCGTTCTACAATTTCCTTTTTCCGCAGGTAGTGTTGTACATACTTTTTTCTGGGGATGAGTAATTAGGGAGATGGGTGGAAGTGGGCATAGTGGCGATATAATGGATGTACTATGCGTGGGTATTTAATAGGCGATGAAGTGCATATAAATATTGCGCGTAGAAACATAATGCGTTGAGATATGACGCGTGGAGATGTAACACGTGACGATATGAGGCGTGGAGATGTAACACGTGACGATACGGCGCGTGGAGATACGATGCGTAGGAAAACTACGCTTAGAAATTCAACGCGTGGAGGTACTACGCGTGGAGATACTACGCGTGGAGATACCACGCGTGGAAATACCACGCGTGGAGATACCACGCGTGGAGATATCACGCGTGGAAATATCACGCGTGGAGATATTACGCGTGGAGATATCACGCGTGGAGAAATTCGACGCGTGGAGATACCACGCGTGGAGATATCACGCGTGGAGATACAACGCTTGGAGAAATTCGACGCGTGGAGATATTACGCGTGGAACTACTACGCGTGGAATTACTACGCGTGGAGATATTACGCGTGAAACTACTACGCGTGGAATTACTACGCGTGGAAATATAACGCGTGAAACTACTACGCGTGGAATTACTACGCGTGAGACTACTACGCGTGGAATTACAACGCGTGGAGTTACTACGCGTGAAATTACTATGCGTGGAAATAGACCTCGTGGAGTTACTACGCGTGGAATTACTACGCGTGGAAATAGAACACGTGGAGTTACTACGCGTGGAAATAGAACGCGTGGAGTTACTACGCGTGGAATTACTACGCGTGGAAATAGAACGCGTAGAGACACTACGCGTAGAAATCTACTGCGTGAATATCTAACGAGTGAAAATCCATCACCCAAAAGTCCAAAACACAGAAGTCTAACCTACGAAACCATCCACAGCGAAGTAACGCCCGGCAATATATCAAATCCCCAAAGTGTCCAATAACACATCAACCTCCAGCGTGTCACCCGGACAAGTACAGTGCGTTAATTAGCATGATTCGCTTGTAATAGCCCCAAGCATGGTCCGAGAGGCGAGCATGAATCACCTGGCAATATAGGTCGTGTTGTTTCACCACGCCGTCTGCGATTGTCGAAGGCTACGAGGCGACAAGTCGTTCAGAAGTTCGCAGTCTCGGAAAAGGTCGACCAGACATAATTGCTGGCTAACCTTTTTCGACCCACTTTCACGCCTTTCTGTTCTCTCCAACTTCCTCGAGTTGGAAGTCGATATCACTCGATACGGAACTTTCGCACGTGCCGTGAAGAGGGCAAAGGCTTATATTTCGTCGAAGGTCATTGACTCTTTAACAAGTTTCGAAGATCTTTCTAAAAATGCGTAGGAGTTTCAGCGAGTTCTTTGGTGAAGTTGGACCGTGAGTAGAAGCAGGGCCTTGACTCGGTTGCCTTAATAAGAAACTTCGAATGCCGAAGTGTATGTATGTATTACGTATGTAGCTACCTGTATGTACGGTTTCTGTTTGAGATCATGATTCAGTGCCTTGGGATTGATACAGGTGGCTCAGACGTTTGTCTAGACCTGGGATGGCATCCAAGTATTGGAGGCGATGTAGGATTCTTTTGGATGGAGATATGTGAGAAATATAATAGGGATGTGGGTGTGAGATACTTTTGGATGGGGATACATATGTAATGCTGTTGAGATACATATGTGATATGTGATATTTAGGGAGGGAAGAATATGATGGAGATGCGTATGTAACATATGCTAGCTTTGAATAGGGATACATATGCAATACTGTAGATAATCATATGTGACATGAGCTAGCTTTGAATAGGGATACATATGCAATATTATAGATAATTATATGTGACATAAGCTAGCTTTGAATAGGGATACATATGCAATATTATAGATAATCATATGTGACATAAGCTAGCTTTGAATAGGGATACATATGCAATACTGTAGAGATACAGTAACCATAAGCTATATGTAACATAAGCTACCTTTGGATAGGGATACATATGGAAGGTAGTAGAGATACATATGTAACACATGCTACCTTTGGATAGAGATACATATGCAACATAAGCTACCTTTGGATAAGTACACGTATGCAAATTTGACAATTTTTAAGTCCTCAAGTGTTCATATTAATATATAAATATAATAAATATATTCTCAAACTTCCAAGTCTCTAAATCTCTTAATTCTTATAATTTCTCAAACTTCATAGTACTTCTATTACAGAATTGTTTTATTCTTTCCTGATGAGTAAACTGCGCATGTTTATGATGTATCTCAGTTTGGAAAGTAAACGTAAATCATTTACTCTATGGTAACTCGTGCGTTACATAATGGATTTGCATTTTGTAGACCTTGATATATCATAAATGCATAAACATCCGCTGTCTGTTGATGAGCTACCACTATGTACAATCTACCTGTCGTTCTATAAATGTGTACTTCATTTGTTACTAATTTGGAATAGACTTGATCAATTTTTTTACTTCACACATTAGCAAGAACTTGAATATTTTTATTCATTTACTATTTAAAAGAAAATTTGACAAATTGTTGCTTGAAAGAAAATTTGACAAATTGTTGCATAAAAGAAAATTTGACAAATTGTCACATAAAAGAAAATTAAACAAACTGCCTCCTAAAGGAAAATAAAAGAAGTTGTAACACGAAAGAAAATTTGATAAATTGTCATCCGACAGAAAATTCAGCAAATTCTAATATGAAAGAAAATTCAAAAAATTGTAATATGAAAAAAAATTTAACGGTGTCATACAAAAAAAAAATTTGAGAAACTGTCACATGAGAAAAAAATTTGACAAATTGTCACAGGATACAAAATTTGATAAATTGTCACAGGATACAAAATTTGATAAATTGTCACATGAAAGAAATTTCGACAAGTACAGAAACACATCTCTGACAGAAATACAATATGAACCTTTCTCATTACTTAATTCACCTTCACACGTGACCACGTCCAAATATCCTCACACGAACACGCTTATTAACGCGTTAACATAATTGCAACAGACCACAGGTATATTTCACGTAAAAATACACGATGAAAGTTGTTAATAAATAAAAAGATATGAATTACGTACCGGCACGGAAGATCTCGCCGCACCCATCGCAACGGCTGGCGAATTGGGCGTCATAGCAGTTGCCACAGTAGATCTTGTCCACCTTGCTACCGAACTGTTTGTCCACCAAGGACACTCTGCACCTGTTGCAGAGGAAGCAGGCCTCGTGCCAATGCTTATCCTTGTACGACAAATCCTGGAAAACCATTTCATAAATCATTTCATGAACATTTCTCTTCGTTCACATTTTAACCCTCTGGGATCATACTTGTCTTACTGAATTTGAACACACTTGTATTTTATATTTTATGAATGTTCTATTTTGTATTTTATGAACGTTCTATTTTATATTTTATAAATGTTGTATTTTATAAACGTTCTATTCTATATTTTATAAATATTCTATTTTATAAACGTTCTATTCTATATTTTATAAATGTTCTATTTTATAAACGTTCTATTTTATATTTTATAAACGTTCTATTTTATAAATGTTCTATTTTATAAACGTTCTATTTTATATTTTACAAACATTCTATTTTATAAACGTCCAAACAAAGAGTTTTGTAAGATATCCAAGTTCTGTAAGATTAATGTTTAAAATGATCTCACAATGCCAAAGGGTTAATTGTTCATACTCGATGGAGTCAAATGGAAGAACAACAGAAATGATCTTAAGACGCAAAGGAGGATTATGGAGCCGAGAAAAATATTGACATTTCAGCGAGGTCAACCTGGGAAACAGTGTACACATTTAGTTTAGACGTCCTTATTGACCAGCGTTTTCAACAAACAGACGTTTTCTTGAAATTGATGACTTTAGAATACGTATTTAATAACCTATAAGTCGCTGGCAATTTACGGATGCATGTGTTAGAAACCTGTAATTATACTTGCTAATACTAACAATCGAACAATCTTTAGTAAACGCTTTTTAATAAAGCAAATACTTGTAAATGTCACTTTGTAAGGTTTTACTAATGTATCACTTTAATTATCATTTTTAATAATATGTTGTTAATTATCATTTTCGATGTGTTCTAACCTAACCTAACCTAGCAAAACAAATATTTGTAAGTGCCACTTTGTGAGGTTTCAACTAATGTATCACTTCAATTATCATTTTTAATAATACATTATTTAATTATCATTTTTAATATGTTCTAACCTAACTAACCTAACGTAACAAATACTTGTAAATGTCACTTTGTAAGGTTCCAACTAATGTATCAGTTCAATTGTTATTTTTAATAATGCATTCTTAATACGTTTCTTAATTATCATTTTCAATGAAGTCATTTTTACCTATCATATTCAACAGAGTGATTTTTAAATATTATATTCAACCCAGTGATTTTTAGTCATCATTTTTAATAAAGTTTCTTAACTATCACTTAAAAGTTTGCTAATGGCTCATATCTTGAGTAAAAGGTCTTCCAGTCAGAATAAATGCTTCTACGTTACTATTATAGAATCGATTTATTATAGTGTGAATTTTTTAAAAGCAAACACTCGAATCGATTAGAGAATCATATTTAAAATAGCGAGTGATTTCAGGATCGATTATAATCGAACCCGTCGACCTTTAAGTGGCATACGTGTCACGGAGAAAGCAATTCTTGTATCTGCGTAAAAACCCCAAGATAAACTTTTGTCTCAAAAACGCGGAAAAAAGAAAAATCACAATATATCAATTCGTGAGAATAACAAATAGCGAGGAGCGAAACGGAAATAAGTTCCCTCGAAGCAGGTACCTGCATCATCGTTTCTATTTCTAGGAATGAGTAAGTCAACGCCCATGCTCGCCATCTCGTGATTATACACGAACCGATAATAACCGATTTTTTTACCGTCGATTTTTCCGCAAGATCTAGTTCGGATTAACGAAACTAAATTTAGAGGAAACTCGACTCTTCTGGTGGATTTGGACCGTGTCCAAATTTGACGGATTCCTTGCTTTACTTTGTTGTTGTATTTTATAACGTATCTTGTTTCGATCGAGATTTTAATAAATGTGGGACGTGACCATGAAAAAACCGAGTATCAACACTTTAAAACACTGTGTTCGCTGTCAGAAAAAATATTGAAGTTAACTGATTTTTTATCTTTTTAGGGGGTCGTATTTTTGGAGTCTGACTTGTTAACACATCTGTATGTTGCGAAAACTATCGTTATATTGCCACATTAATTATCTGTGTAATCAGGGAATAGAGTGTTAAACTTCTCGATCATGAAAATAAGATATCCTCGTTTGAATCGATTAAGGAAAGATTTTCCTCGAATTTAACGTGTGGCGGTACAACGCGTAGAAATACCACGTGTGGAAATATAACGCGTGGAAATACAACGCGTAGGAGTACTACGCTTAGAAATTTGACGGGTGACGATAAAACGCGTTGAAATACCACGCGTGGAAATACTGTGTTTAGGAAATACCACGCGTGAAAATATAACGCGTGACGATACGATGCGTGGAAATAGAACGCGTGGAGGTACAGTGCGTAGAGATACCACGCGTAGAAATTTAACGCGTGATAATCTAACGAGTAGAAATCTGTCGCGTAGAAATACCATGCGTGGAAATATAACGCGTGAGGATACGACGCGTGGAGATACAGCGCGTAGAGATACCACGCGTAGTAATCTAACGCGTAGAAATCTAACGCGTGATAATCTAACGAGTAGAAATCTGTCGCGTAGAAATACTATGCGTGGAAATATAACGCGTGAGGATACGACGCGTGGAGATACAGCGCGTAGAGATACCACGCGTAGGAGTCTAACGCGTAGTAATCTAACGTGTAGAAATCTGTCGCGTAGAAATACCATGCGTGGAAATATAACGCGTGAGGATACGACGCGTGGAGATACAGCGCGTAGAGATACCACGCGTAGTAATCTAACGCGTAGAAATCTAACGCGTGGTAATGTAACGAGTAGAAATCTGTCGTGTAGAAATACCACGCGTGGAAATATAACGCGTGAGGATACGACGCGTGGAAATACAGCACGTAGAGATACCACGCGTAGAAATCTAACGCGTAGTAATCTAACGTGTAGAAATTTAACGCGTGGTAATCTAACGAGTAGAAATCTGTCGCGTAGTAATCTAACGCGTAGAAATTTAACGCGCGGAAATCTGATGAGTAGAAATCTTATTAGTAGAATAGGTAAGATTTTCCTCGACTCCAAAATTTTCCTCCACTCTAAAATTTTTCTCGACTCTAAAATCTTCCTCGACTCCAATATCTCCCTCGACTCTAAGATCTCCACCTTTCAAGGAACATTTAATACGCACCTTCGAGTCGATACCAATGATTTTGTTGCACTCCTCGCAGCCATTCGCGAACACGTTCTCGTAGCACTTGATGCAGTAAGGATGCTCGTCCCTGAGCACGTAACGTTGCCCGGTCAAAGACTCGTCGCACTGCCAGCAACAGAAGTGGCCGCTGTGCCAGTCCTTGTTCATCGCCTTCGTGTACTCGCCACTGAAAATCAACTGAAAAGGAAAACGCGACGAGTTTTAGAGAACGCGATCGTTATGTCAGACATCCTCGTTTTTCTCTCGTTACGGACTGGTCCAAGCAACTCTTACAAAATCATGGCACGACATTTCCGCGCTGGGAAACACCTATCAAGACGGGTTCTTTATTGAGTTATAGGAATAATTATTTCATGCTCTTTCATAATACAACAACTAATATTTAGATGTAATTTTTCATTGATTTGGATGGTTTCTTTATAGAGTTATGGTGGGAACAATTATTTGATGTTTTTAGGTAATGTGGAAGCTAATGTTTAAATATAATTCTTCATTTATTTGGACGTTTTCTTTGTAGAGTTATGGTAGGAATAATTAGATGCTCTTTCGTGATATGGAAATTAATATTTAATTATAAGTGCTTCTACCTTTATTTCTTAAATTGTAGATGATAGATAAAACTGTTTTGAATAAAAAATTTAATAGTACAGTATCGAAAGTTGAATGACATCAGAAGTAGACTTTGTGAGATAAATTTGTAATACTTGTACCACTGAACTGTTGTACTTTGAATTTTAATTTGAACTACTTTAAGAGTCATATGCAAAGAAGTACTTATTTAATTTTGAAGTTAAGTGACTCATTCATCACATAATTTTTCCATGTCTCTATAAAGAAAGTTTCCTTCAAATTGCAAATTAACTCTAACATTTGAGATCAATATTTTTAACTCTATATTTGAGTAATTGTAGAGTAACTGTTTGAGGTGTTTCCTTGCAAGAGTTTGTAAGAGTAAAAACCACCCGCAGACCCGATACCCTGCATCGTTCAAGAACAATCGAGCCAAACGACTGAATCACTTAGTGCAAGAGACAATTCGAAGAAGAGAATTGGAACTTTTGATAACGCTCCTCTCACAGCATCTCTTTTCAAAGTTCCTTGCTATCTCTCTCTTTCGGTGATGTTTCTTTCGTTGTATTCGCTGGTTTAATATGTACCTTGGTTGAGTGCTGTTGTATGTGCTGGCTGAGTATTCATTGTACGAGGGCATATTGGTAAAATAGAATGTATCGTACGAATTTTATGAATTTGCTCCTGTGAGAGAAGAGCCTCGGGTGACCCGCCACCCGCAACCTCGATGTCGCGGATATTGGTGGCTTTGAATTTGGTGAACGGGTAACTTTTGTAGTTGTGTAAAGATAAATAAAATTTATGGGTTAAAGATGGATGAATATAGGTTTGGGATAGGGAGGTTGAAATTGTGGGATTTAGAGATTTGTGGGTTTGGGGTATTTTGAGATCAAGATGGTCTGAAGCTTTGGATTCTAGGATCAATCCTTTTGGATTCTAAGGTTTGAGGATGCAGAATATTTTCAGATTCAAATCTAGGATACTTTGAGATCCAAGGTAGTCTTAAATATTCCCGGATTAGTCTTGGATTCTAGGATCTAAGAATTCAGGAATATGGGACATTTTAAACTTGAGGAATGTAGGATAATCTAAGATCCAAGATAGTCTGTCTGGGTTCTGGGGTTTAAGGTTTCAGGGATGTAAAACATATGATTCAGGAATTTAGGATTAACTGAGATTCAAGAGAGTTTGAAATCTAGAATTCTATACTCTAAGGATTTAGAACTCTTTGATAGTGTAAGGTTCTGGATAGTCTGAAGTTTAGGACTCAGAGACGTACAAATTCAGGAATGGATGATATTCCATAGTCTGCAATCTAGGATTCAAAGACATACTAAGAATAAATATTCCAAGATCCTAGACAGTCCTCAATCTAAGATTCAAAGATGCAGAAATTCAGAAATGAATATTCTAACATCCAAGATAGTCTGCAATCTAAGAACCTCGTATCTAAAATTCCATGAATCTATGATACTCTAAAATTCATGAATCTATAACATGCTAAGGTTCAGAAACCCAGGATATTTTAGACTTCATCAATATTCTGAGATCCATGAGATGCAGCATACCCCCATTTTTAGCCTTGAAACATCTGTAGCTCTAGAATGCACTTTCCTCATAATTTCGTTAATCAGCGAAATCTGTAAATGTTCGTCTTCCTACACATTGCGATAGATGTGAAAGTAGGATTTAGAAATTGGCACCTTTGCCAAAGGTTTCCTAAATAACAGAGTATGAAATCCATATGGAACGCGTTGCATATGGCCAAAGAGTGTTTAAGTAAGGATTCGAATTTAGAAAATTTTCGAATCACTAAAACTGTGAATCACAATAGCAGTTTCTCTCCGTCTGAACGAAGTTTGAATACAAATTATTGTGCCTAAGAATCACATAAGATAAGGTGCCTCAAACTTAGACAAAATGTACCAAATCGTATCAGAAGCACCGACTCACAGAATTCAAAATTCTACCTTAACTAAAAAGCTGAGTTGAAAGTCAGACCACCAAAATTTGCACGCGTTTCTCACCGATCGTTCACCGTAGCCCTCAGGCCATTTTCAAGAATCCACGCGGTTGGCGCGGTGGCGGATCTCCCTAAAACGTCGCAACGAAAAGCCGGCGAATAAAAAATAAAAAGAAAGAAATAGAATCGGGGTTGATCCGAGCAAACACATCTGCAGCCAGCACATACTCTTCGATGGCGTGGTGGTTCTGCGTGCTGTCGACCTCGGTGATCGTGACCTCGGCGTTCTGATCGTGGCTCTCCCTGCGTTTCGTCGTCTTCTTCACTTTGCGAACCTTACGCTCGGTGGTCGTGTACACTACACTGTCTACGTCCGCCATCTCGTTTAGCTTGTTCCGCGAGTCTGTTGCTCGGTCGCGATACCGTCAGATACTACTCTGATCAGTGAACGGGACTGGATAACCAGGAACAGAGTGTCCAGGAGAAGAAGAGGAACAAGAGGGTGATCGGGTGACTTGGTCGGTCGTTATGGAAATGAAAGCGGAGCGTGTTCCGGTCAAGAGTGTTTTAACCGTGTACCCAGCAGCTTTCGAGCTTGCGAACTGACTGAAATCTAGGATCGGCCCGCTCCGGGCGTCATCATATCGGGACGCTATTTTCGGCGTCCCGACGACTCCAGAAACCGCGCCGCACCGC